TAGCAAGGAAGTATAAAAACTTCTTGCGAACATCTTTTTTGTGTGTGGTCAGAGGATCAGCGGAAAGAGTTTTTTTTTTTATTATATAGTCATACACTTTGTTTCTTTTATCATATACTTTATTTCTTTTATCATATGCTTTATTTCTTTTATCATATGCTTTATTTCTTTTATCATATGCTTTATTTCTTTTTTCTTTTATCATATTCTTTGTTTCTTTTATCATATTCTTTGTTTCTTTTATTATATGCTTTATTTCTTTTATCATATTCTTTGTTTCTTTTATCATATTCTTTGTTTCTTTTATCATATTCTTTATTTCTTTATAATATACTTTATTTCTTTTATTGTACTTTTTGTTTCTTTTATCATATGCTTTATTTCTTTATCATACTTTATTTCTTTTAAACATTTCGACAATTGAAGGGGCTTATCTTAATTCGTTTGATCATCCATGTTTCGACGCTCTTTTATGGTATATAGCAAATGTAAATTACGAGTATGGAGAAATTACATCGAAAAAACATGTTAAAAGGAATCGTGCAGACGGCGTAGGATTCATGGCAGATGCTGACAAGTATCAGCGCGTCTATATGGAAGGTTCGAGGCCGGTAGCAAGGGATGATAAGGAAATTAACGATCTAGAAAAAATAACAAGTAAATTGTGAAGGTTATTGTTAAAAACAGAAGGCGTCTGCCAAGTAGGTTATGCGTATTTGGTGGTCAAAGCTTTCGTCTCCGAATACATTTATTTTATATCGATTACCGTGGTATGTATTTTCGTTTACTAAAAATTTATTATAAAAAAGATACTGATAATTTGAATCAAATATTAATTTAGGAACGTATAGATTAAATGAGGTTGATAACGCTAATCTTCCTCGAAAATTTTCCGAATGAAAGATTTCGTTTATTTTTACGAATGTGTACAGTATGTATTAATACAGAATATTCGTTGACATTTAACTTCCTTTAATCTTACGTACTATTTATGAATTTAGCTATTGGTCCGAAATGTTACCGAATCCTTTGATCTATCTAGAACGAACCGTGACCATCACGACTTTCGTTCGCGAATACCCTATCTCAATTGGATGAATGATCATAAAATTACAGTGTAGCCTAGAACTTGTACTACTCACTACTTGAAAAATAAACTGATATTTGTGAAAATATGGTTAAACGGCGTTTTTTGTTAGATGTGGTTTCGTAAGCAAGTGTAAATCCGATTTAGCTTATGCGTGTGACATGGAGCCCAAGGAAGCAATTTAATTCCCCGCATTGGATATCATAAAAAAATGTCTTATAACCTAACTATTTTCAGGCTTCGAGTGACATGCCAGGAGATGGCAGATCTACACAATTATTTCGAAGCAGCAGAGATTTTTTACCAAAAATAAATAACATGGGGAGTGTTCTCCTTGCGTCACTCATGTGTCATCCCTACAGCACTATTTTCGAGTACTATAATAATTTATATTGTTTAAATAGTTTTTCGGATCTTATTTCCGGCATATAGACCATAAACCGGAAATCGA